TGTTTTCATTACCCATCTCCAGACCTTTTGCTTGTTTTTCCTCCTCGCTCTCTACACAAACAACAACAAAAAAATTTTGGTAACCATTCTGTGTTCACTTTTCTGTTTATATTTACAAAAATTAAAAAAACTGTCATATGAACTCGTTTGGTAAGTTTTGAGTTTATAACAGGTCTCTCAAATTAAAAATTAAACTAAAAACCATAAATTGAAAAAACATGTTTACAAAAATTTAAAAACTAAAGAAAACGCGGAAGAAACGCGGACGTCCTTGTGTTGCTCACAAAGTCAGCTGTTCGAAGAGCAACACATTTTGTTTAAACCAAAAACAAAATTTTCAAATATTTTGTTCAAACAAAACGTGTTTTCAGTTTTTATTTTTCTAAAAATAAACAAAAACTAGTTTACAATTTTTTTATAAACATATATGTTACCAAACGCCACATATCTAAAAAAATGTATCTATGGCCCATCTCCTACCTAATTCAAATCTACACTGTACATCTCTTTTTGGGGTACATTTGGGGATAAAGTTTCATGGACTACAGCATTTTTCCAAGAAACAAACTACCTTTTGAGTTGGCAAACTGCCATAAAGCAAAAAGAGACAAAAAGGAAAAAAGAAAAACTGCAGAAGGAGCCACTTCACCCTGAACCGCCACCGCTCTTTCCACTTTTTTTTCTCAGTGGGGGGACGTAAGATTTGGGATTAGTTAAAAGAGTAAGGAGGAAGCTAGAGAGAGAGAGAGCGAGAGAGAGAGAGAGAGAGATGGGTCATGTTTTGAAGCCTCCCGTGGTTTTTGAGATCTTCATCTTTTCTGTGGACCAGAAAGCAAAGGTGTTCTTTTCTTATGAAACTGATTTGTCTCCAAGTGCTTGTATGATGGATGACTTGGATGCACTTCTGTCCAGAGTTCTTTTCTCTAAAGAACAACTCCTCTCTTCCTTTGCTTTCCTCAATCCCAATATAGCTACAGTGCCTGCAGTTAGATTCTTCTTAACCAGAAAGCATTGTCATATTGGTTAACTTCCTGCCAGTCTCTGTGCTTCCAGGAACTCTGCAATCTCGTCAGACAAAACAAAGACAACCAAAAAAAGGGGACAAAACAAAACAAAAATTAAACTCTATCAGTGTGTGATATATTTTATTTACTTATTGATTTACAATCTTCCCAATTTAATTCTGTTCAGTTATGGGCATTTTTAAAATAGTATTTAATCATGATGTTATATTAGCATATCATCAGACTTGATCACCAATCACATTTTACATGTATAAGCAAAAGAAGAATATATATATATATATAACTTATCAGTTAGGCTCATATTCTTGAAATGCTGTTAATCAACACACTTGATTCATCCTATTTTTATTCCCATTCAAGATTTGTGTCTGAAGGGTCGTACATGGATCAGTAGTTTTAACCACAAATGCCATCTAACATCCAAAGGTGAGAAGAATCAACTTCATTAGAAGAGAGACAAAAATTAGATAAAGTTTCAGCCAAAGCCAAACTAGAATCAAAAAGCATGAATTTTGAGTATGCATGTTGTCGCATGCTGTTCACAGAAATGTTCAATGTATTAAAGCAGCACAGTGGGGGGTGGGGAAGAGGCAGGCTGGAGAAGAGGACAGAAGCTCTGGTGGCAGCATATGGGGTTTTCATGAATGCCAACTTGGAAACAAAGCTGCAATTTGTGTAATTAATTAATTAGTAAAAAGGTAAAAAGAGCTAGATTTGAAATATTGAGAAATTTATCACTCACACTTTTACAGGGTCGGGAGGAATCCTACATAACAGATATATTGTATCAAATACTACAATTTTCTCATGCTTTTATCCTAACTAATATTTTCACTATGTTACCAAAAAGATTGAACCAAGTCCATAATGTACCTAGGACCATCAAACTTTATGTTGGCTGTCTACTTACCACAACCCTTTCTCCTTCAAGTTTGGGATCAGCTATGTGAAGGATAAGGCAAAGTTGGGGAAAGTTCCACATGGTTACTATATAATTGTTTATGTTGTATGGTACATAATCTTAGATGGCAAGGAAACAACATGTTCAAAAAATAAGTTAGGTTGAAAAATGACAATGAGATATATAAATCGTGTTAAGTGGCAACGATTGAAGATAAAATGAGGGAAAGTCAATTGAGATGGGTTGGCATATGTAGTGTAGCCAACCTAATCCACCAGTAAATAAAAAATCAGTTGCTCCGGGGCATATTCCCCAAAAGGACAAGAAAAGCCAAGAAGGACATGAGTGGGAACAATAAGAAAGAAACAATTACTTTGGATTTAACCGACGATATGGCTTTGAATTACGCCCATCGGAGAAAAGATCTATGTAGCTGAACCCAAGGAATTAGGATTAAGACTTGTTGAATGGTGTTAAGTTGAGAAACATTGAAACCCTTATGTTGTGTTTGGATCATGGATTCGTAGAGGGAATTATTTTTCTATTTTTGATAAATAGGATTCGTAGAGGGAATTATGGAGGAAAAAGAAAGAGAATAGTGAGAAAAATTTAGCTTATAGTTTTTACACTTTTTCCTTCCCTTCTTTCTTTCCCTCAACAAATACCTTCACAAATCTAAGATCCAAACACAACCTAAAAGTTCTCTTCATGAACTTCATTTGCACTCGCAACACAACTACAATAAGCGAAATCTGAGCAAAAATGGCATTCCGTCCTTTGCACTCGCTGAGACATGATGTTTGGAACTGAAAATATGCAGGTAAGATGCGTTTGTGAAACCCGAAAAATGATGGGTTATGTCACAAAAAATGTGCACAACATCTTCGAAGCGAATGAAGAAGCTACAAACATAGAACGGTGAAACTTTGCTGCCTTACTTTTCCTCACATTTCCATTTTGGATTTCACTTCACAAATATTTATAGGGCCAAAAAAATTAAATACTTATAACCAATGCCTATGGTCTATGGACACATGCCTAACATGAAGGGTAAAAGATTTAGCAGAGAGAATGGTTAGGCATATCCATAGAGTCATGGAACCATCACTCAAGTTTAAATTAAAATAATGTCCATTATTAACTACTTTTTTTTTTTTGTTCTGAAAGGATATCAGTTCTGTAAATAATAATGTAAAATAGGAGTATTTGCTGAAAAATTTTATCAGTAAGTGTCCATTCAGAATGTATCGAAGGAAGACAGAACCATAATTCATAATGTCTCATGAAGTATATAAAATTGTTTTGGATTACAAACCTCATCTTAAAATTAGCGATCACGCAATATCAGAAGATGTCACTCAAAGTTTTATTGATGAGCATTGTAAAAGGCCTGCACCACACACACACACACACACAGTATTTAGCAGTTAAAATGATTGGTTGTCGCTGATGGATCACGGCGTTTCACCATAATATGAAGAGGTTCACTGAATTGGTTGTGACAGTTGGATTCAGGTGTGCAGAAGTCAATTAGAAAGACAAACATGAATAAAGCTCTGTTTGTTTGGGTAGAAAACATTTTTGAGATTTGGTATAATAGAAAATGAAAATATTAATAGAAAACATTTTCATGAGCAACAGAAAGCAAGCCTATTTGGGCATAAAGTGTTTCCTACTTTTAAAAGATGGAAAAAATTTTCCGCACTTATATCTTACCAACGCCACTGCCACTGCACCACATATGAAGTCATAAGAATCTTCCTGCATAATACCAATGCATTCAACAAAACAGAGCCAAGAAGGATTTGGTTTTGTCAGACAGGTATATACAGCCTCATTTGTCACAATGAAGTAATAAACAAACATATGTATGTTTACAATTTATTTTTATTTTATATAAATATATGTATGTTTACAAAATTATGAACAATTAAATTGAAACATATGAGAATGATGATAACACTTTCATTTTGTAATCCTTTCAATTCATTATCCTTATAAAGCTTGAAATATTGAAATAAAAGTAGAGAAGTAATAATAGGACACATGCCCTTATAATTCTCACATATGCCACACAATTCTTAATAGTGCTTATGCTCTTCAACACTAAGTGATCAAATTATTTCAGTGGTCACCCTCATTCAAAAAAATTAAAACAGAAAGATAAATCTAACACACACACACACACACACACACACACAAATCAAAAAATCAAAAAAGGAGAAAAGATAAATCAAAATTAACAGATAGTTCTGTTCTAATGCACAAGAAATTACGGCACCAGTTCTCTTTTCATCTACCTCAGCAGACAGCAATCTACATCTATCATCCACAGTAGGCATCCATAGCCTTCTTTTCCAAGTAGTAAATTTACAACTCCAGACTTACACAAGACAATTGATGGCTCTTTTCATGCAATATTGCATCAGCAAACATGGATCAGCAACAGAATAATCCCGCTTCATTTTTTTCATTGTAATAATAAATCTTATTTATTGGTAAGTAATTGTATAATAAAAGCCACACCAAATAAAATATGAAATAGATAATTGTCAAGACTACCTATAAAAGAAATAAGCTTAAATCTATATCTCTAATATTGTATTTCCATAAATAAAATGGTCATAATTTTGCCAATCACCTTGTTTTCCCTGAGACTGAGCTCCAATCTTGCTTTTAATTGTCAAATCTCATAGACCTTGCTAGAAAAACAGGTTCTCTGATCTGTGAGATAAAATGGTAAAGGACTTCTGCCCTAAATTCAAATTGTAGTTTTCATGTCCTAATTGTTTGGTCTGATAGAATTTCTAATCAAGTCAGATATCATTTTCAGATAGATCAAGTAAAAATAAAATGACAGTCAGAACTGTATTTGTTTTTGTTACCACATCATTATCCTCACCCTCCAAATTCAGAAGCGCACACTAGAAAGTGCTTTGAAAGGTGTCAGCAGATGCGCAGAGCTGGAGCCTGGTATGGCTAAAGAACTGCACTAAAATGTCAGTTGATTAAAGGATGCTAGTGAACAAATTTAAGGGTCAATGACAAAATTTTCATTAAATAAATTTGCTAATTCATTCAATTATCAGAGCCATCATATAAGAGATTGTCACCTTCACAAATGTCCTCATCACATCACTATTTGTACAAAAAAAAATTCCTTATATACAAGGGAGCATAGTTGATCAACGCTTAGAGGAGTACAAGTTGTTGTTTAAACTTCAAAAAGAATAACAGATATAGGCTGGCACAACAATCTAGGCTCATTCACTTTGTGACAATTGGACAAAATACAAAAATCTAAATAATATCTTCCCTTTGTTTGGGGGAGAGAGGGTACAAGAAAGCTCATAACAAATGTACAGTTGCAGGAGAGCAGTACTCACTGAAAGCTGCTGACTTATGTTTTTCTTTTTGAACAATTCAATACACAGAAAATGTAAGAATCTAGTTTTTGAAACTATAAGATCAATCCATCCTTCACAAGTTGCTCCAAAGAAGCTGCCACATCTGACATAGTAGGGTGGTCACCAGGATTTTCCCTCAGTGCTAACACCGCTACATCAGCAAGTTTAAGTAGAGGTTCAACATTTCTTGGAAGAGCCACATATCTATCAATGAGAACCGCTGCCTTACCCTTTCTAATACGGGGCACGGCCCAATCGACTATACTTGGTGTCGTGCAATCTATATCAAACGCTTTCCTCCCACTAAGAATCTCTAGCAATACAATACCAAAGTTGTAAATATCGTCTTTCATGTCTCTATTAAGATCCCTATCATTTGGAGTAAGAAGTCTGAAATCTGCAATTCGTGCACCCCAATCAGCATCCAAAAGAATATTCGAGCTCTTAACATCCCGATGGACAATTGGGGGCACGACTTCGTTGTGAAGGTACTCAAGCCCTTTAGAAGCCTGCATTGCAATCTTCAACCTGAGGCCCCAATTAAGAGGAGAGAGGCCACCATGAAGGTGATCGTGAAGTGTCCCATGGGGCATAAACTCATAAACAAGCAATCTTTCTCCCATCTCCGCGCAATAACCCAACAAGTTCACAATATTGCTATGACGGATATTGCAAAGGATTTCCAATTCCATTTCAAATTCCCGGCTATTCGTGTGAATTATGGTGGCTGCATTTGCCCTCTTTACTGCCACTTGCCTCCCATCTGCAAGGGCAGCCTTGTAGACAAAACCATAGCTTCCCCTACCGAGCTCATTGAACTCCTTGAATCCATTAGTCGCATCCTTTAGTTCTGAGAGTCGGAAAACTTGAGCAATTCCAGGACATGGGGGTGTTGGAATAGGAGGATGTGAATCATTATTATTGTCCTTTTCTAACTCTGGTTTGCCAATGCAAAATGCAAATTGTTTCTTCCCTTCGTCGTTTTTGGTCACAATCAAACGGGGTAAAAGACACCACCCAATTACTATCAATATAAAACCTAAAGCAGAAGACGCAATTATCAGCACTAATCTATGCAATTGATGGTCATGCTTCTGCTCCACTTCTGGTGATGATTGAAGCTTACAAACATCCCAACAAGAACTGTTCTGGCAAAGAGAGCAAGCAGTGCATACTCTATCAGCATTCTCACTACATGAACTAGAAGGGAAAAACCCATCAGAACAATTCAACCCACAAGGTGAACAAATCTTTAGATCTTTTCGAACACACAAGCTTGTCAGATCTGGCTCATTGAGAATGCTTGCATTGAAAGCAAACTTCCCTTCACCACAAGAACCGGGAGTACATAGACCCGGACTACACAACTGCAATGGAGGATCATAATCTAGCTGCAAGGTGGACACATTAGCAAACCAGCAATCAAGCACCAAATCATCTTCCCTAATCCCACATGTAATAAAATCAGACGAAGCAATCGCCAAAAACCCAGAACCTTTTGGGATTGAAGACGAATTAAAGCTCCCCCAACATTCAATCCCATGGTTATCCTCTCGAATGCCACAAAAATGTTCTGCCCCGGCTGCCAATGACACGAAACGAGTTCCAATTGGAGGAGAGAGAAGTGAATTGCCATTGCCCCAACACTTCACCTCTCTAGAAACTTGTGAAACACCACAAAGAGAACCAATCCCTGAAGCTAAAGTAGCAAAATTCTCCGAAAGCCCGGAAACTCGTAAACTTGCAGAGTTTGGACCCCAACAAGCTATACCACCTTCTCTAACAACACCACAACTATACCCTTCACCAGAAACAACCTTCTTGAAGACAAGTGTACTAGCAATATGATCATAAAACAGAGTACTCTGTTTTGAACTGAAAATATTATTGGATTTCCTAACAATGTCCCAACAATCCACTAAACCCAAATCGTTATCGGAATAATAAGATCCTCTAATAGCACAGACATGATTTTTACCTGCGGAGATATGAGAATAAGAGGTGGATTGGAAGATCGAAGGTACGAGATCGGAGCTCGAACCGTTTGAGTTCCAGCAAAATGCCTGTGAAGTGTTTGCTAAAATGCCGCACAGAAAGCCATAGCCGCCGGAGAGAGCTGCTATGGGAGGGATTTGGGAGGAATAGAGAGATGGGTTTGAAGACCAAGAAGAAGAGGATGCAGCGGAGGTGGTTGTGGTGTTCTTGCCCCAGCAGATCACGGCTTGCTTGCCGCTGGCGTCAATGGCGCAGAAGAAGGCGTCGACGCCGAATGCGGCAGAGATGGGGCCCATCGATCCGAACCCAGATGACAATTCGATGAGTGTGACGAGGAGGAGGAGGAGGAGAAGGAGAGAGAACCCAGAAAGGGACCTTCTTAGGATTTTAGTCATGGTTTGGTGATTGGGTGTTGATGGGTTGGAATCAGTAGTGTCATGGAGTGTTGAAAAGAAGGTGGTTGGTGGTGGTGGTGGTGGTGGTGGTGATGGTGGTGGTGGTGTTTTTTGTGTTGTGGTTTGAACAAGTTGGAGAAGTTGTGAAGAAGAAGGTGATGATGATGGGAAGAGAACGTGGGTGTCGCCATTTTTACAGTTTGGTTGGACAGTTAGAACTTGAAAGTACCGATGTAGTTACTCCCACTTATTTATTTATTTATTTATTTATTTAAGGTAAATTACAAATTCACCACAAATGTTTGCTTAAAATATGAATTACTTCTCGTGGTTTGAAAAATTACAAATATCTTTTTATCATAATTTTTTATTTAACAGAATTAATTAAAAAATTAAAATTTCTAACTGTTCACTTATATAATAATAAAATTATCTAAATTATTAATTGAGATAAAATTTTAACATTATTAAAAACTGTTAATTAATTTGATGATTTATTAATAAAAAGACCTATTTGTTATGAAATTGAAAACCTTAAAGGGCACAATGTAATTTTCAGAAGCACAAAGATAATTTATAATTTCAGTAAACCTCAAGAATGTGTTTGTAATTTACCTTTATTTTTTTTTTAATTAAGATTGGCCACTGTTGTTACTTTTTTTTTTTTAATTACATTGTGCTTTTAAAAATTACATTGTGCTTTTAAAAATTACATTGATTTTAACTATATTTGACTTTTAAAAAAAATAGAAACTAATTTAATGAAAATAATGTTCATCATCTAAACACATAATAAAAATTAATTTAGTAATAAATAAATAAATAAATAAATGTTTAAAAGATTTATCAATTTTACATAATTTTATCTTTGGAAGGTAGAAATAATTTTTAAAAATTCAAAAAAAAAATTTTGACATTTATTTTTGTTAAGTTAGTTTATATTTTATCAAATTGATGATTTTACCCTTGACATTGAGTAATGATATCTTCAATTATCCTTATTTAGAACAAGATTCAAAATTTAGGATCAAATGTGTCACAATTAAAAAGTTAGGGACCAAAGTTCAAAATTTAGGATCAAATGTGTCATAATTGAAAAGTTAGGGACCAAAGTGACATGAACCCTAAATTATAGGGACTATTTGTGTACTTTGCCCTAGAATATATTACATTATAGCATGACTTAGGCCTCATTTGATAAGTAATAATTTTAGTCTAAAAGTCAAAAAATTACTAAAAGAAATCAAAAAGTCTTTAACCTATACTAAAAAGTCAAAAATTTTATTTTCTCTCTATTTTTTGCACATCTTTTTGTAAAAAATCAAAAAGTCATTCTAAACATACAAATTTTTTTTATCTCATATTTTAACTAAAAAACTAAAAAATTACTAAAATAACATGTGCGCAAACGAGACCTTAATGTAAATGGTGATAAAAATCATTTGTAATTTATACTATTTCATATTTATTTTATATAATTTAGATATATTAACAATAAAATTTGAGTTACTTGGGTTGCAAAACTCAACCCTAAGCCCAATCTAAATTCAAACGAACAATTTTTAGCCGACGCTTTGAACAAATTTAAAATTATACAATTAGTATCCTAAATTTGTTTTTGGCTGCATTCAGATAGGAGTGTAACTTGGACGGGTTCAACTCGAACAATTCGAATTCAACTTGAATTTTTTTAAGACTTGGATAAGATATTTTTAAATTCGGGACGGGCTTGGACAAAAATTCAGAAGCCCAAATTAAATTTGAGCAAGCTTGAGCAAAGATATCAAACAATCCGAACAACCTGAAATTCGAATTCTACATATATAGATATATGAAAATATTAAATATACATATAAATTATTAGCCATTACATGATATTAAAGTAATTTAGATTATTAAATTATATTGAATATATATTATATATACAAATAACATAAAATCTTATTTTTTTACTCATGAATTGTAAGGACTAGTATAACTGCATCTCTTTTACATTATATAAATTATTTATTTTGATGGTATTAAGATTTTCTATAAATAAAAAAAATTTAAATAGAATCATATTTTAAGTAATTTAATAATGTAGCTAAAAAAAACTGAAATTCATTTACAATTCGGGTTTAACTCGGGTCGGGTTTGGACAGGCAATCTTAGGTTATAATTTGGACTTGGGCGGGCCTGAGCAGGTCTCAACACAACATAGGCTAGGCTTGGACAACCTCTTACCCTGACTGAACCCGCCTGAGTTGGATCCCTACATTGAGCTTGTCTAATTTACATCTTTACTTTTAGTAAGTTAAAGTGATTAAAATTAATACATATGGTGAATAAATACAAGAATAAACAATATGAAATATACATTTTAATATAAAAAATATGATAATATTATTTTTTTAACCATACAATTCATAAATTATTGATTTTTGCTCAATATATTTTTTGTAAACTTTAAAAAGGTTAGTTTAATTTTTTTTTATTATTATTATATATATAAACTGTAAGGATAGTCTTAAAAGATTGTTAGGACAGCTCATGGAAAAAAAGAAAGTAAATCAAAATATTAGAAGAACAGCTCATGGCAACCCCTGGTTACATTGTCGTTAGCTTACTATCTTTATGAACTTTTCTGTACATAACGGTAATCAACTTTTTTTTATTTTTTATACACTATTTGGGAGTTAATTATTGGTAGCAATTTTGCAAGAGGTTATATATATATATATATATATATATATTTGATAATTTCTTATTTTAAATTATATTATTATTATTATTTTACTTTTTAAGTTCATACTAATTTAAAAAGTAAATAAAAAAATTCATTAAAACAAAAAAAATTAAAAAAACTAAAAAATTGTTATGCTGTGTTTGGTTGAGGAATTTGAGGAAAAGGAAAGTGAAATGTAAATAAAATATACTTATATTTCACCTAGTTTCACACATTTTTTTTCCTTTCATTTTCCAAATCTCTTTACAAATCCATCAATCAAACACAAAATTAAGATTTATTTTTATTTTTATAAAAAGATGTATAAAAAATAAAATAAAAAAATTGACTTTCTATAATAATTTTTTAACTTCTAAATTATTTTAACCACTTCTCAAACACCCTGAGCAATAGTGTAATACCCTATTGCCACAAAAGACATCAAATAACTGCTGCAATACTACAAGCAAAATAACCCTGACTAATAGTGCACACCTCAATTAATTCTAGAATTTTAAAATTAACAATCCATTAAACTTTCAACAATTTTTAAATTTAAAATCTTAAATCTTATACTCCTATTTTCCTCCAAAAGCTTTGCGTTACTGCCATTGGTGGTGGGTGCTAAAATGTGAAGGATGGGTAATATAAAAAACAGTAATGGTTGGTAGTCTGAAATTCAGTAGCTCGAATGACTCGAAATTGTCAAAACGACAGTGACTCGAATGGCTCGAAACTGTCAAAACAACATCGTTTTAACAATTTCGAATCATTTAAATCATTGATGTTGTGACCCACAAAAATTTTTCAATAAAAAATTAGAAATCCTTAAAGGCTCCAACTTATGATCCGGATGCTTCACGTGCTTGCTTGCTCAGCCTGTCCGTCCTCTTTCTCCTCTCTCTCTCTCCACATTTAATTCTATTGTTTATGCTATGTACTTTGGTCAAATGAATACCTATTCTGTTCTGTCCTCTTCATTCAATCAATCATACAAATTGTTAAATCAAATTAAAATTTGGGGGACAGTCCAAATCTTGTATGTGCAAAATTTATCAATCTCACTGGTTGGTATGTTCCAAACCTAGTGGGTCACGTGCCATTTAAAGGGGCTGAATCTCTTTACTGTCCTTGTTCTATTGCTCAAAGTTGAAGACTATGAAACCAAATTAATGGCTAAATTACACACTGCCTTTTTTTTTTTATTTAATATTTGGTTACTATTTTACTTTAGCTTTTGATATATATTTTTTTCATTTTGACTTTTTTATATTTTAAATTTTTCTTAATTTACTTTTAAAATTAATTTTTGTTCAAAGTTATATATAAGGGTAAATTACACTAACAGTCCTTTTAGTTTAGGACTCGTGTCATTTTGATCCTTAACTTTTTAATTGTGACACATTTGATTTTGAATTTTGAATATTATTCCAAATAAAGACAAATGAAGATACCATTGTTAAATTTCAAGAGCAAAATTCAAAAATATTTTTTTGATATTTATTTTTGTCAAATTAATTTATATTTTATCAAATTAACCACGTTGCCTTTAAAATTGAGTAATGATATCTTCAATTATCTTAATTTAGAATAAGATTTAAAATTTAAGATCAAATATATTATAATTAAAAAGTCAAACACCAAAATAATACAAAACCTAAACTTTAGAAACGCTAGTATAATTTGCCCTATATATAAATAACAATGTTAGGTGGTCCGAAATTTTTTGACTCAAATGGCTCGAATATTTTAAAACGATGTTATTTTGAATATAAAACGATATCGTTTTGACATATTCGAATCATTCAGGCCACACAAATTCGGGTCACTGGACATTTATGCAATGGTGACTATAACATGACTGTTTGCATCCTATTTGGCACGGTGAATAAAAGGCTACCACGTAGCATGAAAATGTAAAAGACGAAGTGGTTTGGAGTCAACCCATGGGAGCCCAATTCTAACCGGGTCAACCCGTAGTGCTCACACCTTGATATATTTATAGAAGTAAACAAGGAGTTGATTTCGTCAATAACAGTAGTTATAAGCTCTTGGTTATCAAGAAATAGTTTGAGATCCTACCCTATTTTCTCTCAGTACAATTGCCGAACAGCTATAAATGTGTAGGAATGGCAACGGGGCGGGGCGGGGCGGGGCGGGGTGAGGCGAGGCCGGGGATCACCCTCCCCGTCCCCGATCCCCGAAGGCACAAAAGTCCCCGTCCCCGTCCCCGATCTCCGGCGGGGAACCAATCACACTCCCCGCCCCCGCCCCTTAATAGGGATCCATGGTATCAGAGCAAGGTTAAGAACCTGGTCCTTCTGCTTCCCCGGCGGGCGGCAACCTCGCCTTGGCCGCCCGCCGGACCTTTACACATACCCTGACTCCGCTGTAACTTCATCTTCCTCTTCTCACTATTGAAGAACTCTGTTGCAATTGCTGATCACCCGCAGCAGTTGCTGCAACTGCCATTGTCGGGCTGGATCCATTC